ATTCTATCTTATCTTATACGCTATTACCTTTCGCCTTTTATAACAAAAGATTAATTAAAGCTCTTAACAATCTCTTCACTTTAGCTCGGCGCTTTGTAAGCGTTATAACAACGGCGAGCGCCGCCGCGAGAGCGGCAAGCGTAATAACTAGCGTAAAAAGAGCGACGATAATAAGTGCGACGGAAGCTACGAAAGCGATAGAAGCAATAAAGGCGGCAAGCGCAAGCGCAAAAGCTGCTATAGCAGCAAATTAAAGCCTTTGCATGAAGTCCGAAAAGAAGTTCTAATTAAAAAGAATTACTTAAATTAGATTATTTCGTAAGTCAAAGAGCTTGACTTACGAAGAAGTAACATACTTGAAGCGCTCCGAGTCACCGGACTACGGTTCGCTGCTACAAGACCATTCAATTTAATAAAAGCTATATTTAAATTAAAAGTCTTAAAAGCAAAAGCAAAACTTGCAAAGTTATTAAGACTACTTCTAAAACCTTTACTTTTACTCGCTAGATCGCTCGCACTACTAGCAGCACCTCTTAAAAAAGCAGCATCTAAAGCGAGCTGTTATCGTATAGCATCTTAAAGACTTCGGCGAACTTTTTATATAGCATTACTATCTTTAGCGCTTACGAAGTTATCGAAAGCGGTGTTAGCAACGGCAAAAGCAGCGGTGTAATTATTATAGCTACTTTTAGCACACCGGAGACAGCGTATAACGCTCGTATCGCAATTATAACAGTCTTTATTAGACCCCGATATAATCCTACTATTGATGCACTTAATGCACTTTAAAGCCTTGACGATCGTTAATATAAGCAGGCGCTTAATAAAAAAGTCTAAAAGAGAAGGCGAATCTTCGAAGGTAAGAATGCGTAGTATAGCCGCCGCAATCGCCGCAGCTACAGCAGCAGCAATAGCTAAAGCAAAGAAAGGATTCTTTTAATAGTCAGCATAAATATATTAATCTGTTAAGAGCACTTACTTTTAAACGGCTTCAGCCGCGCTTAACGATTCTATTAAACTGAGTTACTTGCTTAAAAAGCATTATATAAATAGATGGAAGTTAAGTGTTTGTTATAATAAAAACGGACGCGCTTTTACTTATATAGCAACGCGATAAAAACGGCGCTAAAGACCTCCGCTACGTGATAAGACCGATTTAAAAAAGAATTGCATTCTTGACTAACACTTAATTAATAATAACAACCGCTATTTGTTTGTTTAAACTGCGATGACAATCTCTTTTGTTTATATCGAGTTTAAAAAGCTTAATCACTTATTTTTTTTTCTTTTCTGTTTGCTTGCAGCTTAGCAGTTACGCTGCTAACTTAAAAGGTATGTTATGCGGAACAAGTATAATTCCACTTAAGCTATATGTAATATATTATGTGACCTCGCTTAGTAGCGCTTTTAGCACATTAAAGCTTTCAAGTACATGTACATAAATCCTGACGAGCTTCTTAAATAGAATATACTAAGCTTCATTCAATCCACAGAATCTCCTCCTGATCTTAGTGCTGGTAAGCACTACACTGTATTTAACTTGTAAAAACGTATTAAAGATTACGATTGCACGAATGAACTTTGCTTTTACTTTTACCGTTATAGTTGCTAATATTCGTCGAGCAATTGCGTTTGCAATTAAGACCTTTCGACTTACTTTTCGACCTTCCGCTAAAGCTAAAGCTTACGCGAGCTTTAACGAGCTACACGATCACACTTGCTTTTAGCACGCTTTAAAAGCTGACTTCGATTTAAATAAAGAATACGAATGTTTTATTTAAGACCGCTAATACTTCGGAAGTAAAAAAGCTGTTAAAGCTATTAAAGGTAAGAAAAGGTGTTTTGTTTATAAAAAGCTAAGTTGCTAAAGCATTAATCACACCTTCGACGAGAGGAAAGCATCCGTCGCTAAGTTTTAAAGCTTTAAAGACGCAAAAAAAGTAACGAGAAGTAAATTCTTTTAATACGTAGCGTCGATCGAAGGCTTGTTATTTGTATTTACGAAAGAATTCGATCAGTTTATCGCAAGCTTGCTAGACGAGCCGTTCGAATCGAGCAGTTACGCTAATATGTCAAAAAGTTTTATGACTACTTACGGCACTTTTAACGCTAACGAAGTATATAAACAGCTAGAAATTCAAACCGCATTCTACGCTTTTGCTAGCTAAGTAAAGACTTAAAAGATGCTCGAGCAAGACTCGCGTGTGCTCGAAAGCAAAGCAAAGACTTACATAGCTTTTAAGTACTTTAAAAACGTATTTATAAGCCTTATGATTGACAGCGGAGCAGCTAATTTCTTTACTATTAGCTTGCTTTAGCTAAGAGCATTTTAAAAGAAGTACTTCGAAGTCTAATTAAATATATTCCGAGCAAAAAAGAAGTCCGTTAAGTACGAGATCGGCTTTGCTACTTTTATTAAACCAGTTACTTTAAATACCTTTTTAAGTTAAATAGAGTTTTACGTTATAAAGAGCGACGTATTCTTTTTATTCTCGTTAGTTGATATAAATAAACATAAAGTGATCTTGGATAACTTGCGGAACGTGTTAGTTTAAAAGAAAAAAGAAATACTAATAGTAAGGATGTTTAAGCACGTATAGATGCTATTAAGTAAAGAGCACGTTGCTACTTATTATAGCACCGAAAGCGAGACCGTCTACTGTTACTTTACGAAAGAGCAATTAAGGATTATTTATAAGCGTTTTGGTTACTTTTTAGCAAGTCGATTTGCTATTGTTCTTAAGAGGGCCGGGCACGAATTTAAACGGGATTTGCTTTATAATATCTAAAAGTTTTGCTATTATTGCTAAGTATTTAGACGCTCTTCGAAGAGGTTTAGTATTAGACTTAAAGACGATATTGACTTTAATAACACGGTATACGTCGATATAATGCACTTTAACGGCAAGAACGTGTTGCACGTCGTTTGCGATTTTATTAACTTTTAAGCTGCTACTTTCTTTAAAAGTATGTCCGTATAGCATTTACTTAAAGGATTTAGTCGATGTTAAGTTAATATTTACGTCGAACTTTTTACAAACGTCGTGCACGATCTCGGAACGAACTTTAATTCGGCAACGTTTCGAAGCTATTTTAAAAGTATTAGCAGCACTTTAAAGCAGATGCTTGTAAAAGCTTATTATAGCGTCGGGCTAATAGAACGCTATTACGTCTTTGTACGACGAGCTTTTGAGATCGTTATAAAGGAGCTTCTAAAAGCTTTAAGGGAGGACCGGCTTTAAATAGCTATTAAAGTTATTAACGATACAACTAGACTTAATAGCTTGGTTTTTATACTTTTCGTTTTTAAGACTTTATTAAAGTTAACGGAACAAGATCGACTTGCTGCATTTACTTAAGAGCGTGCTGCTGCTATTAATAAGGCTATAAAAGAAGTACGAAAATGCTACGCTGCGAAGCAGGTTAAGGACGCGCTTAAAAGGAAGAATAGATTAATTACGGAGTATACTTTAGACTTTTTTATTAATTCACGGGTATTCGTATAGCGGGAAAATCAAAGGTAAAAGGGCTCTTTTTAGCTGCTTAGTAAGCAAGGCTATACGTGCATAGTAGTATATCCGAGACTTACGGAATTCAAGTCAACTTTAGTAAAACCTTATTATTTTAAAGTTGAAAAGCTGCTAAAAGAGTTGCAGGTACTTGAGGTAGAAAAGGAAGAAGATCAAAGTGAAGGCGAAAAAGAGCTGGAACTACGAAAATCGCTTAAACTTTAATATTCGCTTAATTTAAGAAGCTCGCTAAGATTAATAAACAGCTCTCTTAACCTTTAACTTGCTAATCTTTAAAAGTTAATAATACTAATAGTCTAGATACTTTATTAAAAGTACGATCTTAATATTTCGACCGTGCTTGATAAAAAGGAAGACGATTCTTACGTTTTATTTATTAAGGACTTCGAAGTGTTGATTATCGATAAAGAACGTCGGGACTATAAGCTTTTAGCTAAGCTACGAGCCGAAAGAATTATTAAAAGCTTCGGAGCACTATTTCAAAAGTCTAAAGCAAAAGAATTAGCTAGATTAATAGCTTAAAGCATCTTTTAAATGATCTCGAGCACCGATCTACGCGTTAAAAGCGCTAAGATCTTCGGATCTAAGTTTATTAATAAGATTAAAAGCAAGAGAATACTTACGTTATACGAAAAGTCTCGTATAGTAGTCTAAGCCTTTTAAAACAAAAGCAAAACGAAGGTATTCACCGAGTCACTTACGGTATAGCGAACGAGCTAAAGACTTTATTGTGCTTTAGCTCTTTCGCTAATAAAAGACTACGAGTATTAAGTTTGTAGCAAAGATATCACTTAAGCTTATATTTAATCAAGCACGAAGCTCATTCGAATAATCGTCGTGCGATTACTTAAAGAGATCACTTATCGATTCTCTTTCGACACTTTGTTTTTTATAACTAGCTTTTTATACGATATCTTTGAAGCAAAGACGCATTAGTATAAGCGTTTTTCCGAGCATTTTATAAACAACTTCGGTATAAAGCAATCGAGCTTTGATTCTTGCTTCTTTATGTTAATTAATAAGGATTAATTAAGAATAGCTGCTTTATAGACGGATAATATTCTTATAGTTGTTAATTTAGCTATAAAGGCAAAGGAAGAAAAAGAGCTGGTCAAATCTAAGTTAAAGAGTAAAGAAATAAAGATCTTCATATACGCTAAACCGATGATTTTCAATAGATGCAAGCTATCTTTAGATAAAGACGGGTTCGAAGTGTTAATTAATTAAAAAAAGCAAAGTGAAAAGCTTGCCGTGATCAAGCTCGACTTAGCTATACGGGCCAAAGAGTATTTAAAGCAACGTGCTCGAAAAGCGTATTTAGCTATTATTTGCTATTTAAAAGCATCTTGCGCTTTATCGATAGCTGCTTAGCATTAAGAACCGAAAGACGAAGACTACAAGGCCTTTAATAAAGTGATCTAATAGCTGATCGATTACTTAACTCGAAAGATCTATTACGTGCTTTTAGACTTAAGGACGGCGAAGCTTTTCGTATTCGTAAACGGAACGTTTGCTAACAACGTTAACTTTAGCTCTTAGATCGGTTTCGTAGCTATCTGTCGGTGCACAGGCATACCGGTATAAGAAGTACGAATGTATGGTAGTACCAATTGTATTCGTGAAGTCTGAGGTTCTAGTACAAAGCTCTGAAGGAGCTTTATACTCTAGTGCCAAGGCCGGCTACCTAGCGTAGCTACGTAACCACGTGACTTACATTCTCACACTAGCAATTTTTACTTTTCCTTTTACGGGCATCGTCCCGTCTCGCTGATCCATGTCTAAGCAAAGCTTGAAAACATCACTTTTGTATACAAATACAATATTATCTTTCAATTGCTTTTCACCATTCTCTACTATCGTATCCATCGTCGTAATTATTATTATAGCCATCGTCATCGCCGTAATCGTTATCGTCGTTATCGTAATCGTCGTCTTGCTGATCTTCGGCATTGCTTTCAAACTCCTTTCGTAACTCTTCGATTTGCTTTGCGTAGCCAATCTGCTCTTTTGTTTCGTAGTCGTAATCGTATTGAGGTTGTTGAGCTTGTTGAGCTTGTTGAGCTTGTTGGAAACGAAGTAAGGAAAATCGAAGTACGGAAGGTCGAGGTGAAAGAAGCTAATCGTCATCATCGTTAAGTTGGTAAGTGTATCGAGGCTGATTCGGAAAGGAGCGCGGAGCTTAAGATTGATAAATTGGCTGATTCTAAAAAGAGCGCGAGGCTTAAGATTATGTGTATTAAGGCCGAGTCGGGAAGGTCCGAAGAGCTTGAGGTTGCTGAGCTTAAGGTTGCTGAGCTTGAGTTTGCTGAATTAAGAAGTTCTATAACGAAGCTCGAGATTGCAAAGCTAAAGCGGGAAATAGATCTTTAACTTGAATGTAGCGCTGAGTATCGATATTTCGAAGGTATAAAAGCAAGTCTTGCTGAATTGGCTGAAGGCTATGTTAAGGTCGGTTTTCGTATCGATTTAAAGAAGCTAAGTATTCTTGAATTTCTTGAGCTTAGGATTGAATGTATCGAGGCCGAGTGCGCTAGCGTAGCTCTTGTATCCGAGTTTGGAAGGTACGCAAAGGGAAGGATCGCTGAACTAGTTGAACAATTAGCTAAGGGATTAGCTGAATAGCTGGCTGAATTGCAATTGGCTAAGGGATTAGTAGTAGTTGCTTTGCAATAAGCTCGAGGCGCTCAGATTCGAGGTCGTCCGTCCAAACGTAAGGTGTAATTTCCTCGAGGCAAGCTTGCAATACTATTCCGTATGAAGTACTTTTATTGACAAATTGTATCTAAACCTTTCGGAGCACAAGCAATTGGCGAAGTTCTCGACTTATTCGGCGATCCTCGAGCTTCTAAATTGCTTTTGTAAATCCTTGAAAGTCTTCTTTGAAATACTCTCACATCTGTTTGCTTTTGTATGTTCCTTGTCGGTAGCGCAAAAGATTAAAAAAGAGGTAGCTATTGACGATAAAGGTTGTAAGGTGAGTTGAATTTGTAATCTCAAAGGGTTGGTTCTACTTCTTTACTTTGTATAGGACCGCTAGCATATCCATCGTGTCGAAGGTGAGAAGGGAGGTTAGCGCGGAGGTGTTTCTAAGGCTAGTAGAAGTGGTTCGAAGCTAGCGGAAGTTGAAGGTGTATTCTAAGGCTAGCAGATCGAGAGGGTGAGGTTCGAAGTGCTTAATAAAGAGGTCGAAAATTGGCTTGGCGCGAAGAAAGAGTTTCGCGTTGAGGAAAGGTGAAGGCGTATTGATTGTATTGCGTGTTGGACGCAGGTTGCTTCTTGAATGAAAAAGACGCAAAATCGAAGACTGTACTCAGCTTGACTTTGCGAGTTCAAACCTCAAAAATCAAATCGAAGGCTGTACTCAGCTTGTTTTGATTTGAAGGTCAGTTGCGCGCGAGGGCCGGCGAAGAAACCTTTTGAATATTTCGAAGGGCGAAGGCTGTGCTCAGCTTGCCGTTTTGTCGATATTCCTTAGCATCTCCTTGCAAAACGAAGACTGTGCTCAGCTTGTTTTGCAGATCGATCTCTTCCGCGAGAACCTTGTTAATCTATAATCAACTGTGAGGTTGACTATTGATCAATGTCGGTGCACAGGCATACCGGTATAAAAAGTACGAATGTATGGTAGTACCAATTGTATTCGTGAAGTCTGAGGTTCTAGTACAAAGCTCTGAAGGAGCCTTATACTCTAGTGCCAAGGCCGGCTACCTAGCGTAGCCACGTAACCACGTGACCTACATTCCCACACTATCTTTAGTAATAAAGCTTACGTAAGTGAGAACGAGTTCACTTTGACGAGTAACATCTTTTATTAAATGTTATAAAAGTGTAAAAGGATAATAAGGGCCGTATTAGCTTTTAAGCTTTACGCTATGTCCTTAAGTATCGATATAGTTATTACTATATCGACTACTTTTGCTTAAATCACAGCTTAGCTAAGAGTCCTTAACTTTTTCGTAGTAGTGTGCACTAACTTTTATTCGCTTTACGAGTGCATAGTAAAACTAAGAACTATTAAAGAAAAGCGTCTTATGATCGATATTATAGCTATTCGTAAGTCATACAAGAAGCGGGAGCTCTTTGAAGTACGCTGGATCGGAGGCAAATCTAATCTTGCTGACGCCATGATTAAAATCGGAGCTAATACTTTTTTGCAAGAGCTAGTTTTAATTAATACCTTGAAGGTGCAAGTGGATGGATAAGTAGAAAGGCCGCTATAAGAAAAAGAAGGAGAAGATTGTTTTTCTTTTATTTGATTACTTTTGTTTAACCACCTTCTTTCTTTTTTCGGTTAATATAATAATTGGCAAGGCATTGCTTGCTAAAGAGAGAGTTGCCGGTGTCGGTATATCTATATCGACTTTAGCTAGCTAATAGTAGTAGTAAAGGAAAACTTACTCGTGAACT